CTACAAGCATGCAATAAAAAATGCTATACTCAAATTGTCGATAAATTAATTTTGGATTTTTTTTTTTTTTTTACAAGGTATATCAGGATATAGAGATAGGATGAAAAATATGAAAATCATATGATACCTTGAAACGTATATTGGTTCAACTTTAAATTTTGCATCAAAAATCGAAATTGCAAATTATCTCCAAGTTTTAGCAACAGTAGCATTGAAACTATTGCATAATGATGTAATTCGTAAATTGTCGGCATAAAATTGATCCGAAATTTCACTTCATCCTAATGAAAGGGAAAAAAGTGATCGGTAAAGAGAGACCAATAACATCTACGGTTAACAAAGATAGAGGAAATCATCATCGGCAAGATAAACAGCAGACTGCGGTGACCAGACTGATGTGTAGTGGCGGCGCAATACTTCAGATTAACAAATGGCGCATTGCTGTTGTCTCTTTCACTGTTAAATCATTACTGCAACAGTTACAATTATGATAGCGACCATAACCATTTTGCAGCACTGATATTGCAGTGATAATAATGATAGCATTAATTATGACTTTCTTCATGAACAACCCTACATAATGTACTCTTGAACTGCGGGCATCAATATGGCGATGCCAAATTAAACCGACAACTATCAACAGTTAAGCGATGTTTTCTTCTTTTACCCATTATCAAACCATTTCTACTCATTTCCATTTTTCTCTTAATTTCATTTATGTCAAGCAAGTTTTCTCATCACTTTAATTAACATTTCACTAGTGCAAGCACTAAATAAAATTTATCTTGATTTGAAGTCTATATTAGTAAAATTAACTTCCAACATAGATAACTTGATATGATGCTATTGTTTGCAAAATATTGATCCCCCGAATGTGTCGCATAATACTCTCATGTTGATTCTATTATTTTATTTAAATTAGGAATTGAAATATTTGCCCAAAAGCAACGCTATATGTAACGACGAAAGATCAATGGAATAGAAATTATTCCAACCACTGATGAATTTTCAATATTACATAAAACATTTAACGATGCTGACATTGTTTAACATCACCAATGATATCACATTTAAACCATAGTATCAACCATAATTCTTTACGTCTCATTTGCTAACATTCTCTGTGACTGGCAAAACCCCAACAAAGATGACAGTTTTTTCCAAAAAAAAAAAAAATGAAATTCATAAAATTTCAAGTATGATATGAAAAGATGTTTCGATAATAGAATGACTTTACATTGATAATTTTGGACGAATTAGTCACATTGCAAAATAAAGATCAGTTTGCATTTAGAGAACAAATCTTGCAAAATTTAGAGTGAGATAACAGAAAGTTGTTTGTATAATCAGTATATTATTACATTTCAAATGACTCACATTGCTTAGAATAGAAGAGTTTGACAGATATCTAAATTTCATTCTAAATTATTTGAAAATTTTAGAAATGTTTAAATTTCTTGTCAATATTCCTACCCATATTCATTACCAGTTACTGGGGATAAAATGAAAGTCTAAGTTATCCTTGAAGAATTATTTTCGAGTTAAGAAATGAAAACAGCACAGAAAAAGCAAGGAAAATTTTAGTTTGTATATCCAAGTAGCACCGGAGAGGACATCAGAAACATACCAACTCAGGTAAACTTTGGCAATGATTGATAAAAGCAAAAGTCAAGTAATAATAAGTGTGAAATAGATTACGAGCAAATTGACTCTTATTGTAGGAGTACCAAAATCAAATGGTAGTATATTCATTTACCTTACCCAAGAAAAAAATTGAAATTAAGAACCCATTCACTGAAGTGTACTTCGATTAGTTGAAATTTTGCTACTATTTTGGATTATTGCATGATCAAAGCTATTTGGTGACAATTACAGACCCCAACTCCTGCAACAAAGAAGGGAAAGATACCGCTGCACAGTTAATGAGAGGTCATCTAATTGTCACCCTTCCATTGCTTTCATTCTGAACAAAATGAAACAATTGTCAGAGAATCAAAGGATATGAATAATGATCATAAATGTCCACAATACTTTGACACTTCTTGATGTAATGAAAGCTGATCGCACTACAACCAATAAGACTGTATCTTATGGTTATATCATCGAACTGTTGTTCCGTTTCTGCTTACAGATAATGAAGCAAATTGAAATTGGTGAAAAATAGACGGTCAGTTCACTTAGTGTATATTATCTTATTTCTTGAGCCCAAAAAAGTCTATGATTTTTAGTAATCATTTCATATGTGGATGAAAGGGGGTTATATTTTGGCAAGCTTGACAACGTCGAACAAACAGTAATCAATAAAGATGAACTCGCAAATAAATAAACTTCGTTAAACAGAAAATTGTTGATGCGGTCCTTTCATTCTTTAACGAGAATTACAAGGAATTTGAGATAGAAAAGATAAGAAATAGAAAGCGGTGATCAGGTAAAACTCCTTCATAATCCGTGTAGAATCGTAACTAACAGAACCAAGCTTGAAATCTAGTATGAAACTTATAAAACCATTCCAGTTCCATTTAACTGCTATTTGATACTGGTAATGGCTCCGTAAAAGAATTTTCATGTCAACAACAGTTTCAAGCTAGCAGACAAGACTACAATCAAAATTCTTCATTTTATTCCTGAACGATAGAGGTTTAAAAGAATGCTAATCTCAAGAGGTACAAATACATCTCGTTCTTCGTATCCATTTTCATTAGAATGATATAATGATACAATTGTAGAAATTAAATCTTGTTGCATTCGAACTGGAAGGATTAACGTACATCTAAGAGAATCTATTGACCATTAATTTTAATTGTTTTGCAATGGTTAAGAATAAAGGAAGAAACAAGAAACCAATTAATGGCGTAGAATAAAACATTTTTCGTTTAACAAGAAAAGATTTTGCATTAGTTGTCAACTGAATTCGAGCATAGATCGAGATCGCTAGGAAACTGTCTTATCACTGGATTTAAAGATGATACATAATCATTTCACTATTATTATTACAAGCATCTGCAACTGAGACAGTTGCAAGATATGGATCACATTTTGTAAGTGAAAGATGGAACTTCAGAATAGTTTGAATTTTGATGAAAATAGCCTGCACTCTCTGAAATGATCAAATTTGACAAAAAGCTGTCCAAAGAGCTTTGAAGATTGGAGGGCCCTAGATAAAGACGACAATCTAATAATTGATCAAATTGGAAAAGGAAAAAAGATGGAAAGATAGCTTGCAAATCGATACTTCCGCAATGTAAAAATCTGGGATGCACTAATTACCATGAAATTTCTAGAATTTTCCTTCTGGAATCCTTATTTACCATAAAATTCTGGAATCTATTATCTACCACAGAATTTCGAGTGCTCGTTTCATTCTAAGCATATAAACATTCTCAATAAATGGAAAATTCCATTTTTAAGCAAACAGTGCGAAAGTAAATACAAACAAAATAGTCTCACCACTTTAAATGTTAGGAATATAATGTGCAGTGGTAAAGAGGGATACTGATATCACTGGAATGCTGAAACGAAGCCGGCAGAGACATATGCATAAATCTGGACACATCATTGCTTTCTGTTTACTGCAGCGATTGAAAGTTCCCTACAATGAATAGCTAGGTAACTTAGAAAATATCTTATTCTTTTTAAATTCACATGGATGGCTAAGACTTGACAAAACTTGTTTTAGAAATGTTTGCAATATTCATGATCTTAGCAAGCTTATTGTTGAAAGCATTTGAGATATGAATCTTTAGACCAACTTTTGAGAATTTATTCAAACATTAACGAAAGGTATGTAGAATGATTCATCTGATTTAATGAATACTTGGACAGATCTAATCTCAAAATCGTTTCTGCACCAGTAAATTAGCTATGATAGAACTCGATAAGTAGCGTAGGCCGAATATTTGATTAACTGGTACATGTATTAAACTTTATCTTGCACCGACCATGATAATTGCTAAAGAATGAAATATCTGCAGCTTCGGACGACAAAGATGCAGATATGAAATCAGAAATGTCATCAATATCGAGCTGACTTTGGTTACCATTGATGAGAAGGATTAAACAACAATACGAACCTTCAGAAATGACGGAAATAAATCCTGTTAGTCAAAAACTTCAAATAATGATGAGGAATAAGTAGAACAAGAGTTGTAAAGACGTGTGATAAACGTTTACTTTTTCATATGGAGGAACAGATGACTCCGGTGTGTGAAATATTCAATACAACTATCTTTTATGTACAATAATGTATGTCCTATTCTAGACAGGTTCAACTGTCGAAAGTAGCTCATACAGTGTCAAAAAACAGCTTACGGAAGCGACAAATCGGAAGTATACGGAAGCAACAAATCACTAAATGGAATTTTACGATTCTTTTACCAATTTATAAGGTGTACAACTGTCGGATCCTACTGGTTAAAGAATTTTCGCTCACCACTTGTTCTCTTGCATCCGTTAGCACACCCCAATCACCTCATTTACCTTCAGTGTAAGATATAAAATTCTCTTTTCCAAAGCATACCATAAAAATAAGAGGCATTATAAAAAGAATTTTTCAATGTGAACATTTAATGAGTAATTTTTAAAACAAGTTTCAAGTTCTAATAATAATTCGTTCAAGAAAACTATTCCTCTGGCTTACTGATAATGTCCACAACACATTATAGAATAAGAAAAAGAATTATTTCATACAGTGATTCTTTAATTCATGAATTAACGCAAAACAATACATCACGATGGTAAGGAAGTCAAAAAAAAGCCAAATTTCGAATACAAAGAAAGGGGAATTATGTTACAAAAGACAATAAAATTAGGAATAAAAAGTAACATGCATTTATATAATAATGCTGAATGATAATAAAATTTTTATTGAGTGTTTTTTTCTTTTTTGTACAGGACTGTATTTTGTGTACAAACGTATTAAATCTTGTTGAGTATCAGAGCAGAAATAAATGGAAGAAAATTTCAAAAATTTTGCAGAGGTAACGAACACGTAGATATTTAATTCATTTGATGCTACCAAACGCTGGTTGGCTGGTGTAAACCATGTATAGAAAGCCATCCTGGTCTGCTTCCTGCTGGTAGAGTTGATGCATATTCATACTGTTTGAAACCATCGATTTCTCATTGACCAGGAGGAAGAAAGTTTGATCCGGATGAAGCTGTAGTCGCCTCAAAAGATTTTCAATCTAAAAAAAAAAAAAAAAAAAACATTCACAAAACAATTTATAAGCACTATGTTTCATTTCACATTTCAGTAAATTATGATATGCATTCTAGAGTACTGAGAAGTTCATTCTTTCTTTGTTCTTCATAACAAAAAGTAGGCATCAAAAAAAAAAAAAAAAAAAAATAATAATGCAAGAAGAGCCTATATCGACGGAACTCACAGGGACTGAGAAAAAAAAAGCAAATGAACATAAAACTTATCCAGTCATACTTTATTAATGCTTGTGATTTATTTCTGCAGATATGAATTTTCAGCATCGAATCAACAGCAGAAAAAAGAACAAAACTGTACATAATAAAAAGTAATAAATTGTAAAACGACAAACCTTCGCACAATTTGCATCAATCCGGCAACTGTTATATGATCTGGCACAAGAAATTTGCACCGATCCAACAATGGCAAGTACTTCTCTCCTTCAAATCTCTCGATCACAACAGGAATCTTATTCGGTTGCTGTTGTCGTGCTTCTGCTGCATCTTTTGCACGTGCTGCTGAAATTGTAAGAAACAGTTCGACTTTTGCTCAGTGACTACTTTATGTCATATTAATTTAGAAATTTCAGATAATTAACCCAAAATTTATAAGCTTACTTTGCTATCCTAACAGTGCATCAAATAAATTTAAAAGGGCAACAGATGCATTCTTGCTAATTTCAAACTTTTTGAAAATTACCAAATTTTACTGCTTTAAGAGAAAAAGTTTTTTGATGCCTTTTTGGTGGATTTTACGTTTAAATGAAGAAGGCAATGAAATAACACCTTAAACGGTCATCCATTTCCAGCAACGATTGTCAGATTGGATAACTAATGGAATACAGATATTTTTGTTTTTCAAAATAAAAACAAATATCAAACCGACAATTTGGTATCATTCATTCGCACAATATTCACATGCCAATGGTTCTATTCCCATTAATCAAATATGTAAATTGAAGTCATCTCAACGCCCTATTCTTCATATTTTATCTCGACTATCAATTGTTTTCTTTCCATTCTCGGTAATATCCGTTGCAAAAACAGCAAGGAAGTGCTTGTCACGTAATCTCACTATTCTCACTACACTATTAAACATGTTGAAAATTAACTAGAAAAGCGCATAATTTTCACTTTGCAAACGGTAAAAAAGAAAAACGTTGCAAAAAGAAGCTGCACTAGAAAAAATAGCACAAAACTTCACATTATCAACCACATACAATATCCTCGTGTTTTTTCTTCTTCTTCCCTAGTTCCATCCTCTCCTTTTTCCTTTCTCATCCGGTGTATTTCAACGAAACTATTCGATAACGGGCATCACCTAACTCGAATAAAAAGTACTTCCAGAATAGAAAGGAATGTAAACGGAATAGGAGGGAAATGCACAATGTAATGATAAATTACCCAACCTGTTTCGAAAAAAAAAATTTTTAGTGCTATTCATATTCATTACTTTCCAATCCATCCTTTCAGTATAGGCGGAAATGTATGTATTACAAACAAACTGAGAAAATAACTGCAATGCTTTCTCGTTCAAACATTTCATGTATTCTCACATCAAAGCTATCCCATTTATGTTGTTAACCAATGTTTCATAAACAACAGAAATTGTGACAAAAGTCCCAAAATATTATGAGATATCTTACAGCATTTATAACTGTTGATCAGAAGAGATAACACTAACTCTTACATTGGTAGCAATATGGAGACACGGACTTTTTTGGATATAAATAAACAAAACATTGGGCTTAAAAGAAAGAAACTAATCTTATGATTAGTGATATTTATCAGTGCTTAATGAACGAAATCATCACAACGTCATCTTTCAAGCAATTCATATCACTCATTAAAAAGAAACAATGTTTCATGTCAGAAAGACATGAAACAAAAGACGTACCAAACGAGTGTCGTTCCTTGAATGTTGGTATATATCCGCTAAATGCCATCTCTTCCAGTACTTCCGCTCTCTCCGCGGTATGCAACCCTTTCCTCCAGTTCCCGTCCTCTCAGATCCGTATCTAATTACCAACGTTTATTCCGTCCTGCAGATCATTCCATTAGTTCTTCCTCTTTACATTGATACAAACACACATATACATATGAACACACACAAACATATATACCTATCTCTACATACACACCTATACAAAGAAGTCACAATAAAAGACAAATTCTATAAACAACGCAAAACCTTATGGTGACATTCTCGCTGCTTGGAACAGTTATCGCTATGCACGTGCATATATTTGCACGTATGTCATCTATGTATGTGTCTGTACTACCAGTTTGTAGTTAAGTCTACTGAGGATGTATTATTCCCATTTCATTTCACTATCATCGCCATTCCCTCTTTCTATTTCACCTCTCAATAATCTGTCCTCTAAACAAATCGCTGCTTCTGCTCTCATGTAAACGAGTTCTGTGGCTGTGCTATGCTGCGCATAATGTGTTGAAGTACACGTTATTCACAAACAGTCACGTGCGCAAAAACGTCCATACATTCACAAGCAGTCACGTATATGTACACTTAACATTCGCAGATAGTTATGTACGGGTTGCGTACACCGAATGAACACGCACAAGTATTTCAGGCTCCCGTCCCAATACTCATTTGAGTGATTATGTTAGCCCCGTCCCTCCCTCGAACACTTTGTTACGAATGGGAGCGATACGGACGGCGGACTCTGTTAGCTAAGCAAACCCCAACCCAATTGAAATGACATGTCGTTTTGCAATACTGTAAGCAGTTTGTGAAAGAGTACTTCACAATTAGAGGAGGTCATAGACAATTAGACACAAAAGTTTAATTAAGCCAAAGCCTGCATTGTTTGCAGTTTGCATTTTGCATGTTTCGTTAAGAAATGGCCAAGTAATTCCCTCAGAAAATATTACCGTAAGACATAAAGTGTGAATCATCAAAATTAATTTTAATTCCTTTAGAAAAAAAAAAATGGATATTTCGAGGATACTATCAAATGGTTGTTTCTTCGAGTGTTTACAATTTTGCACTATAATCATATCTCTTACAGTAAGGTAAGCCAAGTTACAGTGTTTATTTTTTTTGTAATTTTGGCAAGTCACTTTGCTTGATAAGTAAAAAAAAGAAGCAAAATACGATTAGTTAGTCTTTTAACTAATTTTTAAAAAAGATAAAAAGGACAATGCACTGTGACTTGTTCACCGTTCTTTCAAAAATTTGGCGCTTAGTTCTCTCTTACATTGTTTAATAAACAAGACTCAGTTAGTGTAAAAATTTTAATGCTAAGAATTTCTATGTAATACACTTCAACTCTTTGACAATTTCTAAAACAATATATGAAAAGGAAGAACTGATTGGTTGGTCGAAATGTATTTTTCATTGAATCGTTCATACTTTTTCTTTCTTCTTCTTTTCTTTCCTTTCTCTATCTTTTTGATCACATTTAGTTTTGTTCCTTTATCTTACTGTTGTTTAATAATGGATAGTGAAGTGAAGAATTATCATTACACGTGCTCAACCTGTAAACGCTAGTAGTGAGTGAAATGTCGTCTGGTACCAACGTTTTTTCAAAACCTTGGGTGCGAGTTGTGGCTTTGTCTATTGTTGTATCAATTTGTATACAGGTACGTTAAGTGACGCTTTTAACCATTAATTCATGGCGACATAACGCTAGAATGTTGATTATAATTTGTGCAAAGAGTCTTAGATATTCGGACATAAGCTAAGACTTTTAATGAGAATTTTATAGAGCAAGATATCGGAGTTATTTTTAGACATTACCGATTCTGGTGCAACGAATTGTGATTTCGCAGTATTTAATTTGTAATTTGCAATTTTCACCCGAGTTTATCAAACAAGCTGATTATTGTTCAGCTCATTTTTCCCGTAAACGTTATGTCGGGTTAGTAGTATTTTTATGTTTGCCAGGAAGTTTAATACAGCTGAAATAATTGCAAAGAATTTGAAGTGCTTAATTTTACAGAATCTCGAAACATTATTTGCATTATTTTTCAGCACAACCGAATTAGGTTATTTTGTTGACCCTTTATCTGTGGAGCCGCGGTATTTTGAAGAGGTTGAAAGAGCGGTTGCTGGTACAATCCAAGCAAATGTTATTCAATGGGGTTGGGAAACTGAGAAGGAAGCATTTGCAGCTTTAAAAGCTGCGATTCAATCGAGAACACAAGGAAATATGGAAAAGGTATAACTCAAAAATTCTGTTATCTATAGCTTAACCTTGTGATAGTTTAAAGATATTTGATGAAAGATAGGAATTGAACTTGAACATAAAACACCACTTTCAAGAGGCAATACTGAATGCGTGCTTTGTTGCTAAGGGTTAAAAAAGTTTAGATTGTCAGTGATTGATATTTCTAGAAAATGTGACTTTGTAAATGTTAATTACTTTTTAGGCAGAACTCATTATTCAGCATGCGCTTGCGCTGGCTCCTCATCATCCAGATATCCTAACCGAATATGGTTTAGTGGTTGAAATGGGACGGAAAAATGTGGTCGAAGCGGAAGAGTTATATTCACGGGCATTGAGCTACAATCCTCATCATCCTGAAGCGTTAATGTGAGTGTTTTTGTGTCATATTTTAGTCTGAAAGAACATTTCAGTCATTGTATTGTAATAAGAAGAGTAATTAACAGTAGGATGGCATTATTATGTTGATTTGATATTTGTTTTCTGTTTGTTTGAATGTCACGGTAAATATTTGACAAAATTTTGGACGATTCATAATGTTTGTTCATAATGTCCTAAAAACATAGTAAAAAAGTAGTACTTTATAAGTGAAGAAAGTTATATAGGAATCATATTTCATATCCTGTTTGTGATTTTCACACTGATTGAATGATATCTGTAGAAGACGAGCAAGGACTTTACCCATAGTGGAAGAAATTGATAGAGAAATGTTGAAGAAACTTCACGAGAAGCGTTCGTATTTTTCAAGAATACCAAAGACTAATATGGCTTTGCGAAAAGCAATGAAAGAATCGTATTTTTGCATATTTATCATACTGTAGCAATCGAAGGCAATACTATGTCGCTTGGTCAGACAAGGTAAGATTTTTGTTAGTAGTTGATGTAAGAAAAATGTTATTTAGAGAATATGTCAGTTTAGTTTGTTAATTCAGGTCCATATTAGAAACAAGGATGGCAGTGGCTGGTAAAAGTATTATGGAGCATAACGAGATTTTGGGGATGGACGCTGCGTTGAAATTCATCAACCAAAGCGTTGCATACGTCTCGTATTTTACTCTTCAGGTATAATAATAGCAATAATATATCGAATAATTTTTGTGTTGTTTTAAAATTATTACAGCATGTTAAGATAGTGTTATTTGTGTCAGTTTATCATAAAGTTGTTTGTATTATAGGATATCTTGGACATTCATAGTCATGTTCTTGGTTTTGTCGATCCGGAAGTAGCAGGTGTATTTCGCAAAAGTCAAGTTGGTATTATGTGAATAGGAAGTGAATGTTTTGGAAGAGTTTGATACAGATCTAGGATGAAATATTGTTACTTTGTATATATGTGAGCAACATTAAAGGAATGTCGATTAATGCAAAATAGGCGGTGATTGTTTTATCATTCTCGAGCAATGTTGGACGGGCAATTTTGGAATAGTTGCTTTTGACGTTCTGTTATTCTTTTTTTCATGATGTTCGTTATTCTTTTGAGGTGTTTGTGAGCAGTTTCACACCCGTTCCGGCAAACATGGTACCAGGAGAAATGGAGGAAATGGTGAAATGGTTGAATGAGGATGACAGTTTATTGCTGGATCCAATAGAACGTGCCGCTATTGCTCATTATAAGCTGGTTTGTCTATTGCATGCACATTTTCCAAAAATCTGCATTTTCAGAGTGTTTATGATACAAAAATGTGAACTAAAATCAAGATCACATAAATCTTATATTTCCGTATTACCAGTTGTGTATCCTTCCAAATTCACTATATACATTCTTTTAAAGCTGGAAGAATTCTTTTTTAAAACAGGTTTCGATACATCCATTCATTGATGGTAACGGTCGTACTGCACGATTGTTAATGAATCTGATTTTGATGCAGAGCGGTTTTCCGCCAGTTATAATACCAGTTGAGGCCCGTTCTGATTATTATGATACTCTCAATGCCGCGAACCGTGGAAATCTTCGTCCGTTTATTCGCTTTATTGCACGTCAAACAGATGCCACCTTGCAAGTAGGTTTTTTTTTTTTTTTTGTTAGAAAGTGACATTTTAATTAGATTTGTTTAATATGGTAAATCTGCTTTCAGTTATATATTAATTCTGCAACTACATGTGATTATCGAGAAGAATCTGGTGAGTGTAGTATATCAACAGCTCCTAAAATCTCTGCACAACAGGAAGAAACATGGTGATCCTTTATTGTTATTTTTCACTAATGTTACTTGCGGGTAATGTAAAAGCAATGTGAGTTTTTACTTTTTAATGTTTGCCTTCCGATGCATTTTTGCATCAAATGCTGTTTTATACAAAGTGTTACATCAGTTCATTTTGGCTGTTAGCTAAACAAAATTACCTTATGGACATACATTTGGATAAATAAAATTTATTGTATATATTGTTTCACTTAAATACATCATTAACTTTATTGCCGGACGATATCAATGGGCAAATTACATATAGTCAAGTTTCTTTGACTTGTGAACGAGTTAGTTGTTCAGAAATGATATTGTTTGAGTCGTTTGGAAATAGTATGATGTCAATTATTATATCTAAATGCTCACGTTAATCACATTCGATAAAAGTTGAAAATTTATTATATTGGCAGTTTCTATTACACTTTTGTCGTTTTCCAAACATTTAACAGATTATTCCTAGTCACATACTGTCAACGTGCCTTACAAAAACTTTTATCAACGTTCATTAGTTTTCGTATATTTTCATGTATGTCTTGAATGCTTTTGTCAGTAGTAATTCTCGTTAAAGTGTCTTATAAAATTTATTGTACGGATGCACTGAGGAATGAAAGCATAGTCTATAATCGCCATATTTTAAACTTTTAGATGATATAGGAAAAATATGTTGATGGGATTTTTTTGTAGATGAAATATGAAGTTACTACAGATCTTAGCAACTACGAAAACTGACAAAAACCCGAGTACTATCAAAGAAATATCTGTTAAGGCTATATAATTTTTTCCCGGTGTTGTTATAATCATTTTACAGTGATATTGGCAAACTCACATTATTTCAGTTTGTGCAATTTCCTTAACAGAATTTGGATGAAAATTTCCGCTTTCAATTGCATTGTTTTTAACCTAATTCAAACAAAGTTCACAATTGTTGGTGTATCTGTTATATTTAGTTTTTTTATTTTAGTAATATTACTTCATATAAAGCTTATATGGGAAAATCAGCACCACGAGGGAACTTTCGAATCATCTTTGAGGCGTGTACATTATAACATTTGAAATGTGGAGTTTTAGTTTTTGCAAGTTGTCTCCCACATAAATATTGATAAGTGTTTAATAGATATTAAGAATAACATAAATAGGAATTATTTTCCACAAAAACTTATATGCAAAGAGCTATCACTGAACTTTGATAATAACTCCCTGTTTAGGGCCAAGAACAATTTTATCAAATGATGATATTTTGTCCCTAGGTAAGTATTTGTCAACGTTTGGAGTTACGATAGCGATTTCCGCTTTAGCTGCCATATAATTATCCGGCAGTACAGACATTCCGTCTATTTCAACGTCGGATGTCCCAAAGTTTGCGCCAATTAGGTAGGCCTTAAAAGTATGCAAAACCTCACCGTATAAATGATGTAGTTTACTACAAGTCATTAAAAAAGAAAATAACATACCGCTCCATTAAAACTATTAGTGGATTGATAGAATCGACCGAATAAGATAACATCTTGAGTAAGTGGTGCTATCTGAGTTTCGCCAAGTGCAAAATTGTAATCACGATGGTGCATTTTTGCCACCGCTTTCAGTGTTTTCAATGGTGAGCGATAACCAGTAGATTGAGTCTGTAAGTTGAGTTATTATCAGAGTGATTGAAATTAAAAAAGTGAACTTAATTCTTGTTAGTGTGAAAATTGACACAACTCTATTTAACAAAAAGTGGCAGTATAACGGGATTCGTAAATAAAGGAGAATAGAAAAGTCTATTAGGAAGCATAAATAGTGGGTTAAGATAGAGTCACCTTACTCCCTAATTTACACAGAAGAAGGCTTGATGACTTGGAAATTTTGAATGTTAGTTGATTTGCTGTGACAGTCTAGAACTGAAGAGTACGATTACCTGAAAATTGTCCTCTTTGTAATTAAGCATGGTAGAAAAGAATGATTTCTGGCTGCCAGCTGTGAAACCGCGGTATTCGCTGCTATTCCATTGCATCAAATCAGTAAATTTGTTTTCAGGACCAGTACTATCTTCAAGACTTAGTTCTTGTCCGTAATACATTTCAACAATACCTGGCAATGAAAGCTGCACAAAGCTCAGTAAAGTTGCTGTTGTTTTGTCGAATCTCGTACTGAGACGAGAAACGTGGTAATTCGTGAACTGCCACGCGTGTGGAAGATGTGTAGTATTGAACCATTTGAAAGATGTAATAAGTGTAGAGTGTAAGCATTGTGCTATTCCATTTGGACATGATTCCTAAAGAAGGAATAATTTAGAAGGTTTAAGAATTCATTATAAATGCTTCGTTTCTTGTTATCAAGAATGTATAAATTAAGTTTCAACTTTTCTTTTTTAGAAAACTGATCATTTTGACTGGAACTGACATTATTTAGTTTGGTGACTGAATCATCGATAACATATGCGAGATTCGACAGATTGAGACCATCAGATTCTTGTAGTTTGGTGAAGTCACTCAAAGATGAAAACACAGCGATTTCTCGACTACTGGGTGTTTCAGTACTGTTCGCATAATCTCGTATATTTCCGATGAAATCATTGATCATTGATAGTGCCATATATCCCTTAATTTCTACTTACGTAAAAGTAATCTGATTATATTATCAAATCATATTATTCATAACTGAATGATATGTTAAAATGGATGTCGAGCAATCAGCAATTTTGAATAAGTGAATTTAATAATTAAATTTGTTTAGGGAGTAAAAGTTTTGGAATTCTAAATGTTTAAAATAGTTGTAGTTTATTCTGAGAATATTGCAGTTGGTTGTTGATACCTCTGATTTTGGTAGATATTTGATTAATTCGCCAATACGATCCACATGGAAGCCATCAACTCCCATGTCAATAAAACTTTTTGCAACCTCAAAGACACTTTTCTTTACCGCAGGATTACTCCAGTCTAGTATTGGGTCTTTCCCGTCATAAGCTAGATAAGCATCCTTTTTGCCCTCTTCAATAATATAATTTGGGTTATCTTTTACATCCAGTGCCTCCTTCCAAATGTAATAACCAACATAATCGCCACCCGCTTTTGCTGATTTGAACCTAAAATTGAGTATCCAAAAGCCTTAATAACTTTGAAGTGAATTCCATTTCCGCTTAAGATGGAAGTTATTAGGTTTTTAGAGTATAAATTCTACAAGAAGTCAATATCCATTAACGAAGGAAGACAAGGATGCAAACCATTTATGTGATGCAGATGTTGTTGATATGGGCAAATCCATGGTAAAGTGCATATCTAGTTCATGTGTTGCATCTATCAACAATTTTAAATCATCCATTGTACCGAAACGTTCATCAACACTTGTGAAATCAATCACATCGAGAGGGATGAAACCATCCTGAATTATTTCTCAAATCCATCAAAAGTTATAGAAATTCCGCATGAAAGTATGTGATAGCACTTTTCTCAGTTCTGTTCGCAACGAATTTTTTCAAAGTACCACCTAACCTTTTGAATGGTTATTACAGGTGTCACCCAAATTGTTTTTATACCAGTCTTCCGTAAATCATTAAGTTTTTCTCGGATTCCATTAAAATCACCAATTCCATCATCATTGGAGTCACGAAAGGAAGGTGTAAATATCTGGAATTTTATTCCACTCGATGCATTTGTATATCATTGCAAAAATATTTTGAAATGACCCAATTGTTTTTTTTTTTTTTTTTTTTGTAAAAAAGTAATCCTAAAACATTTGAGAACTGACTGCAGAACTGGCTATTTCCGTATTGCAGGAGTGTGTGTTTGATATTTTCCAAGATAAAAATGAACTTCGTTTATACGTATGTACTTAAGATTACCTGATAGCTAACTTGCTTACGCCACCATTCCGGTTCTTTTATCGTTGCGCATTTTGGACTAAACACAATAAGTAGCACAGCAGCTATAAACATTAAAAGCCATACCACCCAGAAAAGCAGAAACATTGTGCACCTGTAACAACTGCTTTCTTCAGAAAAAAAGAAACAAACAAATAGTAATATCCAAGATTTGAATCCAAACGAGTTTTCATCAAAATGAACTGGCTTTTTCCCACATTTAAACCAGTGTTTAAATTTTATTAAATTTAGAATTTACCTAACTACCTTCCAAAATGGGTCATTGCAATATTGTTCTAGTTCATTTTTTGTAAGTCCGATCATTTTTTCACCTCTTTTTATTCCATTTTCATCCTGTAAGGAAATCGTGATAGACATAAACCTGAATAATCATATAAATGGTTCATTTCATGGATATAATTTTTGCTAATTTTCTTAAATTTACTGGTACTGCATGAAAGGTAGTGTTTCCGCCTGATTTAGAAGCACTATCAGGTAAACATTACCAACAGGTGTTCAGGTCTTGGTTGACCACAATTGCTTCGAGAGTTTCCAAATGAGAAATTGATAACGAATAAAAACATGAAAACATACAAATTTTGGTGAAAAGGTTGCCTGTATTCCTTCATAACTCGATTCTTTGATTTCTAATTTATAAACTTGTGGCGTTTTAGTGTCTTCAGACAATGGCATTCTCGAATCATCCGCATCCATTCCTGTGTGACGCTAAAATACTAGCCGTAGAATTAATAGGGCATAAAACCTCCAAATTTCCGGAAATAATCAGAAAGAATGCTTCATCAAATAATGGATGACTTCAAATAATTAATATTGATTTTATCCTAATTCCAAAATCTTGAGATAAATCTACGGAGCTATCTTGAAATTCCGGATAGCAATTTCAGGACACGTCGAAAATTCTTGAACAAAATATTATCGTGATAAAAAACAATTGATAAAAAAAAATTTTTAAATCGCGTAACAAAGATTTTCTGTAAAATTAAAAGTTTTGAAAAATCATGAGTGAAAGGAAAGAAGCTAACATTATAACAATACTACAAATTTTTTTTCCTTCACTAAAAATTAACGGCAAAACAGGACAGAACAAAATGACACACAGCTATGCATTCCATTATGTTTGCCAACATTTAGTTCTTATTTCTGATGCTTCTGAAAAGCATGACCATTTATATGAGTGACACTTTACGATTAATGGTTGAAATTGTTTTGTAGATCATAAATCAACATTAAATTTGACGATCATAAATCACAATGATGCAAAAAGCAAAGAATTATTCTTTTCAACTCTCTTCTTTGACCTCATTGACACTATGTCATGTGAGACAAGTAATAATTTAAGAGATTAAAATTCAGCAAGTCTTTCTAAAAAGTAATTTTAAATCATTTTAGTAAACTACAACTTCTCACTTGAAATACAATTTAGGATGTGTTAATATTACTGTTACATTATGAAAGTTCAAATAAGCGGTAACAATGATTCATATTGTATTGAAACAAATCACATTCATGCTGATATATTGATCGTTGTTGTCGTGAGATTACTGAAATTTACAAAATTCTTTATGAAAATAGAAAGTGATAGGAAAAGAAGAAAAAACTAGAAACAAGGGGCAATTAAGAGCGATGGCAACGGTGCAAGTATTTCGCTTCGTTAAGGTACATGAGGAAAGACAGAAGCAATGAATATTTGTTCAACAGTTTGCTTTTCATAATGGAATCTTTTGAAAGCATTAAAAAAGGCTTAGGGACGAGAAAGAAGGCTAAGAATGAGAAGGAAAAAGGTTTGGAAACAATATTATAACATTTCTCATTCATCATTCAATAATATTGCAACACTGCATAAGCTTTTAAGACGATAAATTTAAAATGGGATCGATTGAAATTATCTATCTGCATTGTTATGTAAAATTTTGTGAACATTTGTCAAAAAGTTTTAAACAACTACATTTCACTTAAAATTTCAAAACTTCTGTGAAACAATTTTGCATTACTAATCTTTTTAAACATAAACACTACAAGCATGCAATAAAAAATGCTATACTCAAATTGTCGATAAATTAATTTTGGATTTTTTTTTTTTTTACAAGGTATATCAGGATATAGAGATAGGATGAAAAATATGAAAATCATATGATACCTTGAAACGTATATTGGTTCAACTTTAAATTTTGCATCAAAAATCGAAATTGCAAATTATCTCCAAGTTTTAGCAACAGTAGCATTGAAACTATTGCATAATGATGTAATTCGTAAATTGTCGGCATAAAATTGATCCGAAATTTCACTTCATCCTAATGAAAGGGAAAAAAGTGATCGGTAAGAGACCAATAACATCTACGGTTAACAAAGATAGAGGAAATCATCATCGGCAAGATAAACAGCAGACTGCGGTGACCAGACTGATGTGTAGTGGCGGCGCAATACTTCAGATTAACAAATGGCGCATTGCTGTTGTCTCTTTCACTGTTAAATCATTACTGCAACAGTTACAATTATGATAGCGACCATAACCATTTTGCAGCACTGATATTGCAGTGATAATAATGATAGCATTAATTATGACTTTCTTCATGAACAACCCTACATAATGTACTCTTGAACTGCGGGCATCAATATGGCGATGCCAAATTAAACCGACAACTATCAACAGTTAAGCGATGTTTTCTTCTTTTACCCATTATCAAACCATTTCTACTCATTTCCATTTTTCTCTTAATTTCATTTATGTCAAGCAAGTTTTCTCATCACTTTAATTAACATTTCACTAGTGCAAGCACTAAATAAAATTTATCTTGATTTGAAGTCTATATTAGTAAAATTAACTTCCAACATAGATAACTTGATATGATGCTATTGTTTGCAAAATATTGATCCCCCGAATGTGTCGCATAATACTCTCATGTTGATTCTATTATTTTATTTAAATTAGGAATTGAAATATTTGCCCAAAAGCAACGCTATATGTAACGACGAAAGATCAATGGAATAGAAATTATTCCAACCACTGATGAATTTTCAATATTACATAAAACATTTAACGATGCTGACATTGTTTAACATCACCAATGATATCACATTTAAACCATAGTATCAACCATAATTCTTTACGTCTCATTTGCTAACATTCTCTGTGACTGGCAAAACCCCAACAAAGATGACAGTTTTTTCCAAAAAAAAGAAAAAATGAAATTCATAAAATTTCAAGTATGATATGAAAAGATGTTTCGATAATAGAATGACTTTACATTGATAATTTTGGACGAATTAGTCACATTGCAAAATAAAGATCAGTTTGCATTTAGAGAACAAATCTTGCAAAATTTAGAGTGAGATAACAGAAAGTTGTTTGTATAATCAGTATATTATTACATTTCAAATGACTCACATTGCTTAGAATAGAAGAGTTTGACAGATATCTAAATTTCATTCTAAATTATTTGAAAATTTTAGAAATGTTTAAATTTCTTGTCAATATTCCTACCCATATTCATTACCAGTTACTGGGGATAAAATGAAAGTCTAAGTTATCCTTGAAGAATTATTTTCGAGTTAAGAAATGAAAACAGCACAGAAAAAGCAAGGAAAATTTTAGTTTGTATATCCAAGTAGCACCGGAGAGGACATCAGAAACATACCAACTCAGGTAAACTTTGGCAATGATTGATAAAAGCAAAAGTCAAGTAATAATAAGTGTGAAATAGATTACGAGCAAATTGACTCTTATTGTAGGAGTACCAAAATCAAATGGTAGTATATTCATTTACCTTACCCAAGAAAAAAATTGAAATTAAGAACCCATTCACTGAAGTGTACTTCGATTAGTTGAAATTTTGCTACTATTTTGGATTATTGCATGATCAAAGCTATTTGGTGACAATTACAGACCCCAACTCCTGCAACAAAGAAGGGAAAGATACCGCTGCACAGTTAATGAGAGGTCATCTAATTGTCACCCTTCCATTGCTTTCATTCTGAACAAAATGAAACAATTGTCAGAGAATCAAAGGATATGAATAATGATCATAAATGTCCACAATACTTTGACACTTCTTGATGTAATGAAAGCTGATCGCACTACAACCAATAAGACTGTATCTTATGGTTATATCATCGAACTGTTGTTCCGTTTCTGCTTACAGATAATGAAGCAAATTGAAATTGGTGAAAAATAGACGGTCAGTTCACTTAGTGTATATTATCTTATTTCTTGAGCCCAAAAAAGTCTATGATTTTTCGTAGTCCGAGAAGTTTGAAAAACCGACATAATCTGAACCGTTTTTTTTGCACATTTTCACATGTTTGGCATGTGATATGGCGAGATGAAATTAATGCGAATTTACATAGTATTTTCATTCGACTAGCACCATCCGACATCTTACCACTGACTGTGAACTGACCGATCCTTGAGCAGAAAGTAGTAAACCGGAAATATTTATCTTCAGAATGTTAGAAAAAATTCAAGTTGATGATAAGAAAGAAGTGACTGACCACTGAATATTAAGCCTATAATCAATGACATGAATATTTCGAGCAAAATTAAGTCGTTAAATATAAACTGTACATTAGATCTGGAAGCACTCTTTTAAATCACAAAATGAAGAAAACATATTTTGCTGTAGATACTATTTTTTTAGCAAATCTTTTCCTTTCAAAAAATACTGTTAGATTTTTGGATGGAAACAAAAATGATGTAAAACAATGACAGATAAAGACAACATCGATAATAACACAACAACGATTTGCTTAGTCCATCCACCGACTTAAAGTTATAGGGATAATTTACAGATAAAAAGAATGAAAGCTGTTGAATTTCACAAATCTCGCTTCCCATATTTGCAACACAGTTAATCTGGCTTCAGAAAATTTAAACTCGTTGAGTTACAATTGAATATCAACTTAAAATTGCATAAAATAATACTACCGAACCTTACTAATATTAGCTTTGTAACATCTGTAGCAAAACTCGAAATTAATCTTGCGGATCTCAAATACAAACTATATCAAATAAAATTTTATTAAACCATAATACTAAAATTTGCCCTAATCGAACATTTTTTAAAGAAACATGTAAGTGTTTCAAATTGCAGCTCATAGAAGCAATCATTTACCCAATACTCATTTTCCCGTTCTAGCTGAGCATATCTGCGTGTTTAGAATTTTTTTTTTTACGAAAAACATATCCTGTTAACGAAAAGTATATGCATTTCTTAATATGTTAAAACCAAACCAAATTTGCTTGCAACGTCAAAATATTCCAGAGATTTCCTAATCTTTTATGAGAAACATGCAATATTAAAACCCATCTCTACTATACGAAAAATAAACATCTTTTGATAGCTCTTTTCTCAATAGGGATCATACGTTTGTTGAAAGTCAATTCCCACGATATAAATCCTTTATCTAGATTCAGTTTTTTGTACCAGCAGGTTACGGTTCTGCTGCTCGCCCTCATTCATTTAATTCAGGTCTTTTAAATCCTCTAAGTTCTCCATCAATATATTCTTTCTCTTCACCTCATACCTACATGCTCTACGAAATTATCAGTGTATTGTTGCAACAGATTAATATTAGTGTAGTTTCAGGAAAAATCAGTAACGAACGTCACCACGTCTTCGCTAACTCAATCCCTTATTTAATTGTATTCATCATCTCATATTTGTATCATAAACATGTGCATCACAGAACTCATAAAAAGTGTAACAACTAAGACAAAAGAAAACTACTTTTTAAAGTGGTTTTACGCTTCATATTTTTTGGAACAAAACCTTCCTGACTGAAGTATACCATCAATTGATGTTTTTATGATAGCATTTTGAGTCTTGACCGACAAGATTCCTTTGCCTAACGCAAAATCATTGACCTGAAATGCAGCACCAAGATCACTAAGGAAATTTAGGATTTATTTTTTGGATTGGAATCGTCATTAGAAAAGAAAAAAAACTAATGAATTTAGAGGAATCAAATAACTAATTAAGATGACTCTGCTTGTTCAAAATCAAAGTTTTCTTCGTTATCAAAGAAGTAAATCCATTATTGGTTTCGTGTATGACGAAGAATAGTATGATCTGAGACGTAGCTCAGTGTCATTACCTATGAAAATCCAAAATGCTGAAGTATTGAAATTCGTTCTTTTCTCGTATTCAAAGTAACGACCAAAGTATTTAGAACAGCAGTTAACATTATAGAAAATTTATATAAATCCTATCAAGTGAATCAACTATTACAAACTTATTAAGTTTCGAATCGACATATGATCACCTCTAATTTTGATAAATACGGTTTTAGTTCAATAAGATAATTATAGATCACAGTCGATAACAACTTGATTATTCCACAGTTAGCAGAACTGCATATTTTATCCCACAAACTGAAAAAATCACTACTAATTTAACTGCACAACCACTCTGCCTCAAACGCTATCCAAACCATAAAAACCATAAAAGGTTTTCAAGAAAAAAAAAGTACTTTAACAAGGGTTCATGATCAAAAACAACCGCTCCACCACATCGTATCCAAAAATTCATTGGCATTTTTTCCCAAATAAGTTCATCTAAATTGCCCATTTCTGCATAAGCTTTTACAAGTTGGATTTTTAGATTATCGACAACCTAAATGATGTAATTTTTTCTTTTTTAAATGATCAATGTTGGTTACACCATTAGTTCTTAAACAGGCTTGGTCATTACTACAACTAATCGAATGACATCCTTGGCGAAATGGTTTATATCATCTTTATATTTACTCTATCATGCAAAGTTAAGGATGATGCAAACGCATGGTAATACTATATTATCAACAGTGCAGAAGAGTAGACTAATTTATGCCAGCAATGAGAACGCGATTTGTATACTTTTAGAAGAAACCGCAAAAAAAAAAAACAAAAATACTAACTTCAGTGAGGACCTTTTGAGTAAAGACATGAGATAACAATTCATCAAAGACCTTTGTTAGCCAATAAATGTCGACCCAATTCGATTCACAAATTATTGACATTTGTTTGGCTATCTATAATTCAGCTATTAATTTTTAATTCTTTTAGATATAATATAGACAAATTTCCTACGGATTTTATCCTGAACTTTGAAGTAGTGAAGTGAATTGTTGGGCAAAGAAAAGAATAAAACATTAAAAAAAAAAGTAAATCAAGAAGTACAAAGAAGAAGAATAAAACATTAAAAAAAAAAAGTAAATAGCAAGAGAAAAAGCATCGCCCTGAATAGCTGCTTTTAATTCTGTCTAATTCTGCAAAAATTATATAATTTCA